TCTTTTTCTTTTATGATATGAAGTTGACATGACCACAGACACCACCAACACTTTCCCCTAAGCTAAATGTTGAGGACAGCCTCTAGTATCTCCATACAATCTCAGATGTGTTGAAATGGCAGCTGGGGTTAGGTCAATCCTATAAATGCAAGAATACATAGCACAAAAGAGTGCCAGGTGTCTCCTGTGGTAGCTTTAAACTGAGTAAACCAAATTTTTATTCTGTTGAAGTCCTTTTACTGTTGCATTTTGTCAGTTGATCACAGTGGCATAAAGATTCAGGTGTTGCAGTTGTATTAAGATGACTTTAAGGGACATCATTGATAATTACAGCCATTTCTTAAACTCTGTGAGATGAATGTGAATGACTGTGTGTCATTCCATGCTGTTGCTCCCCATTTCCACCCATCTGTCCATGCTGCACACACTGTTCAGGGCATGGCCACTCCCTTACAGATGTTACTTTCTTTGCTCTGTGGTCACTCACAATTTTTGGATGAGGAAGCCCAGGATTTAGATAAGTCTGCCACTTTCAAAAAAGTCAGGAATGTAAATTGTGAGTATAAGGCCTTAAGGAAGAAGCTTTCAACAATACTTATTGAGGTGTCACATCTTTCTGTTAATGTAGAGAATTTTCACTTCCTGTAGAGACAAAGGGTTTTAAAGCCTGTTGATTTCTCGGAGTTCTAACAGTTTTGGTTACTCTTGTCTGGAAGCAGCCATTTTCTCACCATTTATTTTCTGAAGAACCTTCTAAAGAAAGCTTTACTTTAGGAGCCATTGCTTCCCTGTGTGTCTGCTGCATATGACACTTCTGAAAGCTCTGCAGCTTACACCTTGTGCATGACCTGCAGGTGCTTGGTTGAGCCAGATGACTTCACTGTTCAGAGGTGGCCCCTGCCACCAGGATGGATTTGCTCTGGAGCATTCCACTTGTGTTACGACTTTACATTTTAAAGAATAAATCTTGCCATGAAGCTTTTTGCCTTCGCAAGTTTGAATACCTCCTATCTTGTTTTAAGACAGATAAAGGCTCAGTGAGGCTGATCTAAGTATTCCAGTTGTGCCTTGAAAGGGATGTGTGTGATTTACACTGAGCTTCTGAAAAGCCATTAGCCCATAACTATATTTCTCAAAATTATAATTACAGTTTTAAAGGATTCTTTATTCTTTATAAAACCAAGCAGTGCATTAGGATACCTCACAGCATGTTACTGACAGTTCTGTCCATAATAATAACTGCTAGTCCGTGCTATAGATTGTAATTAGTTAGGAAGCCTCTTGTTGGAGAAGATAGATAAATATAATTATTCATAAGTAATACAGCCAGGATGAGAACAGTCCTCTCTGCTGGCTGGACAATGCCCTTGCCTACGGATGGGTCCAGGGGTCAAGTGGACTGTTCCATCTCACCCCCCAAAATGTATGGTTGACCCTGCACTGTAACCCTCCCCTAAAACATCAAGTGCCTGTAACCCCATTGGCCCAAGTCTTGTGCCAGTCCACCTTGAAGCCCCCTTATAAGGGGTCTCCGGGGGGCCAGACCCTCTCTTGGAACTTCCCCTCTCTTGGATCTTCCCCCCCTCTTAGGACCTCCACCCTCTCCTCTTGTCTCTCCCCCATCCCCTCAAGCCTTGCCACGTGCTGCGTCTGGCAGCCCCAAGCAAGACCTTTCTGCATCCCTAATAAACCTGATATCCTAAGAGCAGCCTTCAGAGATCTCTCATCTCCATTCATCTAAACCGTCCTGGAGCAAGCAGAGCTCGCTACAGCCTCCCTTTATAAAAAGAAACCCAAACCAACCATCAGGAAAAAGAAAAACACAACAAAAGAAACCTGATGTTTTCTTTGGCTGTGACATTTTCAGAGTACAATTTTTCTCTCCTGCTTTTGGTGTAGTCTTTGGTTGTATGATGCATTTCTCCCATGCACAAAACTGTTGGTTTCATAGGTCGACACCACATTTACAAACTGTAGGACACACACGTGAAAAATTCAGAGACCTTTTAGGGTATTTTAGCACAAAATGTATTCATACCGGAATTAGAAACCCCAGAAAGCAGGGGACATATAATACGTATTTTGTTTTAGGTCTCTATTCTGTAATCAGGTTTTTTAGGTCTGTCTTCAAAGTTCCTCACATGCAATAACAAAATAGCATCACCTTGTGATGTTCTGCAAAAGCAGATATAGATGAGTATTAACTTTGAACTCATTAAAAAAAGAAAAAAAAATGAAATCTTGTGGCAGGTTCGAATGCCTCAGAAATACAGACCATGCTACCCCTTCCTCATCTTCAGCAGTTTTGGGGAACAGCAGCTCAGGAGATGATGTTGGTACTGCCCTCGCTGTGCAGCCAGCTGCAGCAGGTGCATGTGGAGAAGGCAGCAGCCCTTCCTGAGCAGCAATGCCTCAGCTCCGCGGGGTCAGCAGCACCACAGCCATCCCTGCAGTGAGCATCTGCCAGGAAATCAGGAACAGGCTCCTGAGAGCAAGTGCTGCTGCTCCGAGCTCCCGGAGTGCTCACTCAGCGTTTGTCAGGAGGAGTTTTCATCCCAAATTCCTGGTTGCTGAAGCTCTCTGTGTCGCCAGGTGGCAGCTGGAGCCTTGTATGTCAGTTGAGCCCTGTTGGAAAAACTGCATCTCAAGGGTTTCCCCTTCTTCAGGCTGCCCAGGAGAGATAGTGCTTTAGGAAACTTTATTATATTGTATTTTGCCGATTTGTTTCACCTTTAAGTAGTTCCTCTGCTGCAGTGCAGCAAATGGTCTCATCGAGCTCCAAAAGAGCTTCAGCAGTGGAAGTTCCAGTGGCAGGGCGTATTCAGTTTTATTTGTATCCTGAGTTCTTCCTAGATAATTTTCCTCTCCTTCCCATATCAATCAATTCTGATTTAAAAATAAAATTCTTCATTTAGTGTGTACCCTGTATGTTCTTGGGAAATTTTAAATTAAGTCTGCCACAGCCCTGCAGCTCTGTGCACACAGCCACTGCTTGCCTTACACAGTCATTCCCTAACACTGCAAAACTGCACAGACTGCTCTGGTCCGTCTGCTGTGGAGATAATAGACTCATAAATACCCTGCAGGAAGGAGAGAATGTTTACTCTTCATTCTCCTAGTCCAAACTTGGAGCATGTGGGAGTAGGAATCACTAGCAATTCCGTTAGTGGACCCTGTCAACTTTCTGCATTTTTCTGTCAGCATGAAATGTATTTTGAAGCCCATTTTGAGCATTAATTTTTAAGCACCTGGTCCAGATAAATACTGATCATCTGAGATCAATTGTCAAAGACTGAACACAAGGAATAATGTGGGGATAGTAGAGCATTCTGTTTCCTTACTGAGTCCTAGGTCTGGATTTTTAGGTACACAGGAATTAGTCACACATCTCATACCAAAGCAGCGTTGGGGTGAGAACATGAAGCAGTGGCAGAGCATCAAAGACCTGAGCTGTGTCTGCCATTGCTTACCAGCAGCAGGATCTGTTAAAGCTCCAGTGAAGAGCTGCTAAGATGGTGAATAAAGGTGAGCAGCTGGCAGGGCTGGAGTTCCATGTCCATTTCATCCCATCCTCTTTCTGGTACGCCCATTGCAAAATCTAAGAAAGTAAGTTTACCATATGTAACTTGTGGCAGTACTAATTATGCTAAACCTAAGTTGCTCTCTGATACTATAATGACCCTTCGTTCTATTATGTTAATTGCAGTTTCAAGTGCTTCCCAGTTTGCAGGAGTAATTCACTGGATCAGCCTAGTCATCCTCTCTGTTTTCTTTTCAGAGGTATGTATAACCAAAGTCTTTTACCACATAGAGAACTGCAAAGTATGTTTATGTTGTCACTGGAATTAGCAAGAGTTTTACAGTAGTTTGCAAATAACATAGCACAGTGTATTTCAAGGAAAAATAAACAAGCAAAAGTGTACTGTTGCTGCTTCTACTTAGCAAAGTAAAAAGTCTTATTTAGATTAGCACTGTTTGTCAGTGGCTTAGAATTGGTAGGGAAACATGGAAGGGAAGATACTGCCTTAAAAATAATAATTGGTAAGCTGCAGAAAAAAATCATTGTCTCTGAATCTACAGGACAGCTTGATCCATTTGTTATCAGCATCACTGGGTATAAAGTATAGGATTTAGATGAAGATATGTTCTTCAAGAATAAAGATCCATGGGAGTTTTGTAAAAAACTCTCACAATTTATTAAGGTAATTTACATATTCCATGTTGCTGCATGTAGACCTAGTCAGAGAATGAAACAAATGGTGAATTTCTTTGCCAAAATGTGTATGAATGTATGCACTGGAAAAGGCTCTAGTGATGATGTAACAAATGACCAAACTGGGATAATCTGCCTTTCTGAGCTTTCAGCTTTGTTCCAGAAAGAAGTCATTGGTATTGAGACATTAGGACTCCTCCTGAAATATTCCAAAATTCTTTTATTGCTATTTTTCAGGTTTTAATATGTTACTTGTCACAATAACAAGTTTTATGTTTGTTAAATTGGAAGACAGTTTGGACTTAAAATATTTTAAAATATTTTTTCAGGTTCTGTAGGAGAAAATATAATCCAGAGAGGTTTGTTAGTGACTTCATTCTGTTGAAAATTTGGATGGCTACAACGTGAAGGTTACAAAAAAAAAGCAATAATCAAAAAAAAAAGCTATGATATCTGCAAATGATTTATTGGATCACTTGTATTGAATTCATACTCGTCATATATGATTGGTAATTTCCATGGTGCTCCTAATGAAATACATTTGCATGTATTGTTTTGTATTTCTCAGGAGGGTTTTTTAGCTGGTGCTGTCAGTGGGTGCTTTCCAAAAGGGATCTCACAGTGCTCTGCATCCCAGCCTTCTGCTGCACTTACACAAATAGGTCCCACTACTGGCCCCATCCTTTGACAGTGGTGGTGGGCTCTAGGTTACATGTAAGATGACTGAAAATAATCTCTGAACAATTAAAAGAATTTGTAGTCTTTCCTTTGTGAATTGCACATCCTAATTCCCAAAGGCTCAGGTTTGCTAGATGATGTCCATTCCCTTTAGAGAAATACTTTCCTCTCCCCTCCAGAATCTTTCCTTAGTGGGGATTAGCACCCTGGAGCTCTCTGTAGTCCTGAGCTTCCCAATAGGATCAGTGTGTAACTGCTGCTAGCAGCATGGCTGCACAGCCACGCTCACCTGACCCCTTTATTTCTGGGGCTGGTTTCACCAGAAGTCTTTCCTGTGCTGCTCAGTTCCTGCTGCTGGACTGCAGTCTGCAGTTCTGTTTTCATTCCCCTGCACCACCAGCACTCTGCTCACGCCTGGGGCAGTGTCTTGCTCCTGTGCCCCTCCCTGAGTGCACAGCTGCTGTTGGGCTCTTCGTGGCACTGCAGACACATCCTCGAGGCCAGGGCTCATCTGGCTCAAGGAAGAAATTGATTGTTTCAGTTCTGCTGGGACAGGGTACCCTCCAAAGTGGTTGAACTGGCTCAGAATTTTTTTTCAGGAAAAGAGTAACAGAAGTGTTTCACAGATCCAAAACAGTTCCCCTGACTCACCATCCTCATTTTGGAACTGAATTGGCTTTTCTCTCTTTATAAGATAGTTGGAACTACTTTGTCTATGTGCTGTTCTCATTTATTATAAACTTATCACTCACTTCATTATCTACTTCTGTCTTCTGAAGCAGCTTCCTTCAGCTATTTGATTATGGTTTGAATTTAGATCAAAGAATGAGGCCACAAGACAGCCATGTGAGGTGCACAGACCAGGATAGATTCTTAGATATGGATTCATTTGGCAGTTCAGAGATAGAGGTGGCTCCACAGAACAGCTGGATGTGCTTCAGAGACCACCAGTCTGGGAGAGAGTTCAGGTGTACCTTTCCTACTGGAGTTGGCCTTATACCAGGTTAAGTTCATATTGAATTGTCTTAAGAGAGCAAAAACAGAGGGTATAATTTTCTGTCATCCAAATTTTTTTTCCCCAAGAGGTTACAAACTACTGCAAAAATTGCAAATTACTTTTTTTCCCCCATACATCTTAATTTTATTTACTTCTTTGGTCCCTTCAGGGTATTTATTTTCCTCTGATTCCCATAACATGAGTTAGCTGTCTTTGGGATCATTTGTTGAGAAGATCATATGTTACAGTGAGAGTCTGCAGTCTGTGGTTGTTCATGCCAGGATGATATTCCAGAGATCAGGTTTAATTAGTTTACCTGGGTATAACAGGTAACTGCTGAGAATTGATGAGTCCTTCAGTCATTGTTTTTCTACTCAAAGCAAGGATTCAAGGTTTCTGGTGTTCAAAAAAAGGTGGTTTCCATAGCAAGTACCCTGTTCTAAGTTTGGATGTTGAGTGTTTATTCTGTAATTTGGTTCCCATTAGTTGTAAACATGGGTACACAATTCTTGAGGAAGGCCTTAGCTTAAAGAACAACATTGTAAAATACTTGTTAAGACCCATAAAATTTTCAGCACAAAATCTGAATGTTTTGGAAGAATACAGCTGATTAAAGGTGGTGCTATCAAAGCATTGCAAGTAATTGCACTGCAGTTGAAGTTAAACAGCCACTGGCTTTCTACTTGGTTAAAATGAGGGGGCTAAACATACCAGCAGCTGGCAAATGCCACTAGAACAGCTGCCAACAGAGCTGAGTAGCTGCTCTCATAACATCTTCCTACTTTCCCTAGGCTTGTCTTAACAGCCACAAGCCTTAAAGGCACTTTGTTCATTTTATTCTCTCTGTCACTGTCTGTGACTTTCCAGCATTAAAATATCCATATTCAAATGAAGTGCACATCAGCTTTTTTGCTTTTTTCAAAGTATCTGAACAGGATTTACTAGTGGTTTGTCTCTGTTGGCATATATCACTATGATTTGTCTGTGCACCATATGTTACCCAGGCATTAAGATAGAGTAGAAGAGAAGAGAGAGGCACTGGGGAAAAATCCCATATCAGCAGCAAGGCGAGGCCAGGTTGTACCCTCTCGAGAGGGCAAACTCAGCCTTGGTCATAGTTGGCTGAGAAAAGGAGATGGGGAATGTCACAGAGTTTTGGTAAGTGGATTGAAGTCTGCTCTTAACAGTTCTATCCATTGCCTCAAATCCATGGTTCTGTGGCTGTTGTTCAGATCTGCTTTTCCCCTAGGACTGATGTGCAAGAATGGAGTTTGTTGATATTAGTTGTTTGCACTGCTCTGTGTGCTGCAGCCAGCCCAGCACTCAGGCATTTTGCTGAAGGGAAGAACGTGAGGGTTTCCCTGAGAGCAACCAACTCTTGTGTACTCAGTCAGACAAGCACCAAATCTCAGCTTTTTTCTGCCATCTGTGTCCAAGAAATGAGCTCTCAAATTTATTAGAGTAGGTCTGGGCTCCAAGCTGGTAAACAATCTGTTTCATTAACTGTGGCTCACAGGAGGAAAAACTCCAAGGCTTTCCTCATCCTGTATGTTTAAAGGAAGTGTTCATAGTAGCCTGCCACTTTTCTTCTTGTTAATAGCAAACCTTGAAAGGAATAAAATATCCAAAGGGAGACTCTGCTGTTGAAGTTCTGTTAAAAAGGAAAAACATCCTAAATGGCAAAACTAAGTAAAAATGTCTTTCCCTTAAATTCATAATTTCTTACAGAAACTCTGCTATGTTACTTTTGCTATATTATTTGTGAGCTTCAAAGAGCGGAGAGGAAAGATAATAATCTCCTATTAATCTTCTGTAAACTGTGGTTTCTCTTTTGTGTGTTCACTTTTATTTCCTGTACATACAACTTTTCTTATGGTGTATAAATGCACTTCATTGCTGTATGTTTTGTATTCTAAATGGAGTGAGTAGTGGAGTCTAGGGACAAAGATACAGATTTGATATATTAATGTGATTTATGAAGTAAATGTAGGCTTCTTTCTTTGCTAGTGTGTATAAAATACATTTTAATATACTGGGAAATTTCTTTACTAAGCAATTTTGTGGCTTCACAAAGAAGTAGTTATGGGACCATGGAAACTGGTCCTGTAAAGTTCTGGGAATCTTGCTGGACATCTGCCTGAAATACCAGTCTGCCCATTTCATTACCAATAGTATCCCTGACTTAGAGTGTGCTCTATCAGTGTTTCATCTGTGCTTTCTTCATACTGACAGTGCTGCACCTCCTACACCACACACAGAGAGAGGTGATAGTGCTTGTGTGACCATGCTCAGAGGGAGCTTGTGATGCAGCTCCTAAGCCCAGTTCCCTGGCCACTATGGGTGTGTGGTGGAGTCTCTGGTGAGCCATTCCAATGCCTGAAAAGCCCATTCAAATCTATAGAGAATTGTCAGTTGAAAACTCACTGGATTTCCCCATATGCTAAGAATTAAGATTGTGAGCGTATTGGGAGAACACAAGAAGAAATAGAAGTGCAGAGGTTGTGCAAAGGTGCATTTGGGTATATGATATCCTGGTAGTGTTAGTGAGATAAAACACAGTATGTTTGTGTCTGTTCATAGCACCAGGCTTTGGCAGGGAATGGTTTCTGTGGCACCACGAAGCTGATGGAGCCCAGCAGTTCAGTGTGCAGGACATGGGGTTGGGTTGTACTAGATAATGGTGACATGGAGTCTGTAGTTTCAGAGCTTTGGTTGAAGAGAATCTGTGTGAGGAGGGTGCCTGTGCCCTGGAAGCAAAAGGATGTGTTCATTTCAACATGCCAGCATGTTCCTCTGGGCTCTGCTGGCCTGGGGACAGCGTATGCTAGAACAGCTCATGCAATAGCTCAGTACAGGCACACCAGGAGATGGCAAAAGAGGATTCTTTTAAGGACTGGATGAGTTAAGGCCTCTGGGAGTGACCTAGATGAGAGGCATTATAAATTACAGATTGGGTACAAGGTGTTCTGGGAAAGCATTCAATAAATATTTGGTCTTATGAGATACGTGGAAAAGGCAAAAGCTTAATTTACAGAATTTCTGGAGCCTGTGTGATGGAAGGGAGGAAGGAAATCCCTTCCAGCTGCCTCCATCCTGTCTATCTCCTGCCCAAGCTGTGCCCCATCATGAAATGCAGAGGTGCTCTCCTCCTCCTTTGCCTTGTGCTACTGGGCCAAGGTCCCCTCCTCTGCTGCCTCCTGCTGATTTCACACTACGGAGGGATTGGATGCAGTGACTCACTGAGTAGTAAATTGTATATTAAATGTGAAAGCAGAAAAGTATTTAAAATTACTTAATGTACGGTGCAGTTAGCTAAGAGATGCAGATTGTGGCAATTCGTACAGCTGGCTCAGCAAAGGACTTGGCCAAGTTTCCCTACAGAATTAAAGAGAGAACCTGCAGCATCTAAACTTCACTGCAGACAGTCAGTATTGTGCAAACAATTGTGTGTTACCAGGATACTTTGTCAGTTTTGAAATAGGATTTCGGTCTGAAAAATGATTTAAAATTTTATCTGGATTTATTTCGGCTTAAAGAAGTTAACACAACTGTTCAGTCATTTGCTTTTTATTAGTGCACTGGACAGACTCTTATGTAATAAATTAGCTTTAGCAGAAGAAAATTGTATTTCTGCTATAACTAAAATATAACTGTTAAGGACTTTCTAGTTAAAAGGCTTCTAGTCAAAAAACATTAAAGCTTTCTTTCTCAAGTAAAAAAAACCCAATTTGGCCGTACTTTCCTTTAACAGAAAAGTGCTCATCACACTGATACTTAATGTTTTTTCAAATCTGCATTCAAAAATGCAGGATGCCTGTAATGTAATGCAAAACTGTACATTTGCTACATGCCTGCACATCAGTGGGAAACAGCAATGCAGCCCCAGTTTTTCCCTTTTTCTTGTAGGTTTTTGTACATAAAAATGGTAGAACTGTGACTAACGTTGGTTTTGTCTGTGATGAATGTTTTACAGTTGCAATTCTCTTCTAATTCATATGCATCTTTCCATTTGGTCCTTGAACAGTAGGTAGGAAGTTACTTGGATTATTAATTTCTGTCTCTGTGTTTTTTCAGATTCTGCTACAGGTCCTCATTTTGAAAGTTCTTTACAGAGAGAGTATACAATCAAATGCAATATATATATGTATTTGTATGAAACATATTTTTGATTGCTTTGGAAAAAATCCTAAAATGTTATATATAAGAAATACCAATGCTTTTATTTGCTGTCAAAGCATTTATTACACTGAGCAATCAAGTAGGTGCCCAGCACAGTCCAAATTCCTTTGCTTCCACCTCTTCTGGGTGAGAGCTGTGGGAGCAGCAGGGGATGTTCTCTCTGCCATGGACAAACAGAGGCAGAGTGGGGACAGCCAGGGCTGGTTTGGAGCTGTGCTGGACCAGGCTGGCCCAGGGGCACCTCGGTGGCCAGGCTGGGGCTCTCTCGGGTCACCAAGGGCAGACTGCCTTTCCTAGCTCCTGGCACCTCAGTGCTGATGAGCTGTTTTAAGAGTGACAGTGCTGGTGCACAGCTTGAAGAGCTTCCATGCACAATAAATGTTTTCTAAGCTTACCCTCAGTTGTGTCCAGCTGGTTCTGAAGGGTGTGCCCCTGGGCTGGCAGGAGCTGGCTTATCTCACCCTTACGCTCCCCTTCGTGCAGTGTCTCGAGCTGAGAGCCAAGGTGGGCATGTTGTGTGGGACACCAACACCCAATCCTGCATTAAATGTCTGCCAAGTAGACTTCCAGTCACTGCTGACTTGTGCTGATTCACAGCAGCAGAGTGGCAATGAAAACATTTGTGTTAGCTTCCAGCCCTTGGAACTGCTCACACCCATTAACGTGGCAGTAGCACAGTCTGATTTAAATGCTGCAGTCAGGAATTAAAAAGGCAGGAAGGAAAATACTTTTGTGTGTTCCCTCACCAGACAGATGTTAAATCTTATTTAGGGTTGTGAGGCAGTGTTTCTATTTTCTTTGTGCAGATATGCCTCATTTCAGTGAAAATACCTTTGTGCACACCTGTCTAAAGGAAGGAAAACTTTCACCCTCAGTTTCTGTAAAGTTGTTAAGTGCTCAGCAATCCTGTGTTCGTATTGACCTGGCACTTCATAAGTGCTGCCCAAGCATAGCAGAGCATGAGCTGTGCTCCCAGCAGGGTGGCTGTAGGAAAGGTGGTGCCCTGAGCTTTATAGAAGGCTCTGCTTGTCCTCATGTGTTTCCCCATGGCTGCCTGCTGTGGAACCTGTATGGACCCCAGATAACTGATACAGCTGAACTGAGGGGCTCACAAGTAGCTTGTTCTTCAGCCTTTTGTGCAGCTCCTCGGTGGGGAGTGAGGGAGAGGAGCTGGGATGCTTTTCCTGGCAGAATTAAGCTCAGGAGCTGAGCTGTGGCTGCAGGAGTGCCTTGGCACTTACACCTTGTGCCTGTGTCAGATGACATCATGCTGGCCAGTCTGGGGTCATTAAGGGACTTGAGCACCTGCTCTTCTGCACCTCTTCCTCCACATAATAAATTAACCTTGAGGTTTATTTGTAGGTTATTATGGAGAGAGCCTTACTCCCATGCTGTGTTTGTGAAGTGGTTTGGAAGTATAGTGTTTTTAGGAGTACAGACTGGCAGCATTGGTGGATCTTGCTGTCTCTGTATAGTATCATCATTTTTTGTAGAGGAAAGAGGATGCTGCATTATGTCTTCGGGCTTGTGCCTCCATTTCTCAGCCAGCCTTGGCCTGTACCTTTGCATACCCCATTTCTGAGGTGTTGGCTGGTTCACTTTCCTCCTCCTTGGTGCTGCTGGGCTCTGGAGGCACCATCTGCCCCACAGGAGTGTCCCCCTGGGCAGAGCAGGGGTAAGTGCTGTTATCCAGGTTTGCAGTGCCAGGAGAAGGGAGCGCAATCATCCCAGGCCAGCTGAAGCATGGGGCCAGCTGAGGCTCATGGGGGTTGGCAAAACCATGCACAGGAACACTACCAAAAATTTCAGTGTTGTTCTGCAATTAGGTACTGCTGGTATGTTCGGCAGCACTTCAGAGCTGCTTGGGATTTAAGATTTGTATTTGTAGTGGAAAGGAGATACATGTATTCATCAGAGTCACTTTTTTCTGCACAATTCTGGGCATAATCACCCCCTCACATGTAGACCTGCTGAGCACTAAGTCATTATGCTGTTCTTCAATGGAGAAAGTGGCATTTTGGTGGCCCTTGTAGGGCTCCCAGCTGCAGGTAGACTCTTCATGTCTGTCAAAGTCTGACCTTGTTGCCGTTGGCAGGAAACATCCCTACCAATTAGGCTTTTATGTGAGTTCAATATCAATTGCAAGTTGACTGATGGATTTTTTTTCTTTTATTGTGTCTTCTGAAAGCCAAATTAAAAATCAGGATTGGATTTTTAATAGGAATTCACCATTGGTTCATTCTGTAGTTTGATTCCTTTTATTCCTCTTTTTTAGCTGTTGAGGCTACATATTGATGTTTTGCTTCATAGAGAAGGATCACAGAGATATTTTTCTCCCTTATCCCATGACTTTCTGGGATCCTGTAATAAAGCAACTGCCTTAAATTCCATCTGCTCTTCAGGCTGATGAAATGTCAGTACCTTTAGGCATCAGGACAGGATAGGGCCTCTTCTCTTAGAACATCAGTAAGCACTGGCATATCAAAGATAGCCAGAAAAGAGAATTTTACCCCATTCTGACTGAGGGAGCCCCATGGTGAATCTTATATAGTGTTGGGTCAGGAGGCTGGGGAGGGTTGGTAATCTAAATCACACAAATCTGAAAGCAGAATTTTAGGAAGATGGAAAGACTGATGAGCATTTGAACTTGGAACTTGTTTGCGAAGGTTTTACTAAATCAATATACTGGTTGGGAAGCAATATCTGCTTTTTTAATATAGCAGTTTAGCCATTTCTAGAACTTGATTATTATTTAGAAGAAATGTATACGGCTTAAATAAGACAAAAAATTATTCCTTAAATAAGTAAAGAGCTAAATGTTTATCGAAGAATGCAATAACATTCATAATCGTTTTTCCCCCTAATCTATTTTACTAGACTATTTTGAGGATTGTGGTCCTTGGCATATGGGATTACATTGAAAACAAAATAGAGGTAAGCTCTTTCTTCTGGTACTGTTTTCCAGGCAGCCCAGAAAGACCATGAAGAACTGCTTTAGATGGCTTTGTTATTAATCTGGTGCAATACAATATCTTTTAAGGCAGATGAATACACACATTCTTCTCATTATGTGCATTATCCATAGCTGAGTGATGGAGTCCCTTTTTCTGTGAGAGACTCAGAAGATTGCAATATTTGAAAATATTTTATGAAGGGAGTGATTTTGGCCTTCTTGCTCTTTGTGTGACTTTTGTTGTTAGAACTGTGCTGGTCTAACTGACAATACTGCTGCTCTGAGATGTAAAAATTGTTACCTCAGTTTTATTAACTCATTGCCATAATTGAGTTGGAATTATTGAGTTAGTTGAAAATTGCATGTAGTTTCCTGGTAGTAAAACTAGTTTGGCAAAACTCCTGTTTTTACTGAGAAATTGTTTTGATAAACACTGTAATTAGTACCTCAAATTAAAAATTACATAGTATGTATATACTCTGGTAGAAAAAGAAAAATAAATTCGTGGGTAATAAATAATAAATAATCCAAATCTGAGCAGAAATTTGGAGATCAGGAAAATTAAAAGCTCTTTCTTGATACTGCCTCATAAACCACTACTGGGCAGGAAAAACCAGAATACAATCTGGGTGTTCTTGGAGCATAATCATTCTAGAGACTTGCATTATTTTTGTAATTAAGTTGTAAACATTTTAACTTGTTTTGCCAAAAAAATGAAATGAAACTTAAATAGTTGAGTCAGGGTTTTTTATTACTAAGGCTAAATGCAGAAGTTTCTGATAATTCATCTTGGTAATTTGGAATAGTGATATTTTTTACTGCCCATTGAGTGGCTGCAGAAAGAAGTATTTCTTTTCAATACACTGAATTGTTATACACAGTTCTGAATAAGTAGTTCTTATAAAAATCTGTGCCCCACCTCTTTATGGAAACAGTTAATCAAAGGCCTTGGCAGCAGGGGAGAGTTTCAGCAGGAATGAGAACGTGGTGCTCTGTTCTGCTCTGCTGGGCCAGTGTGGGACAGACACGTCACTGCTGCCACTTTGCTCTGGAACACATTTACTAGCTCATTTCTGTCTCATGCTTTGCACAATTGCTTTTTCTGATCTAATCCCAATGCAGCCAGTGTCACATAAATCATTCAGAACAGTCCCAATTGTCAAACTCCACACTGCCCCATAAAAGTGAGAGCAGGCAGTCTTTCTGGTTAGGTACACAACCATCCCCACACATGTTGTGTAGTCAGGACATGGCCAGAAGCCACCAAGTCTCTTGGCTCCATCTTTTTCTACTTGTCTTCTTGATCTCTTCATTTAGACAGTAAGATCTATGGGCAGGGACTGCATTTTTTTTTTTAGATGACATTATGCCAAGTAACAGGTAATAAATACCAGTGATGATAAAACACTTTGGTGTAATAACATTTAGACTATCAATTCTCCTTGGGGATTTTGGCCAGTATTTCCAAATACCTTTCTCTCCCCCTTCCCTTCCACCACAGTCTCCTCACCTCATAAAAAGCACTGAGGAATTTTGTTGTGCTACCTAAAAAGGATGCAGCCTTTCTGTGGCTTGGCCACCGCTCATATCCCTTTCAAATAGGTACATCATTGCATTTCTTTTGGACAAAGAGGGAGTCCTTCAAGATTTCAAAGAGGAATGATAGGGATATGATTTAAGGAGAGGTTTGAAAAAACTGATTTCTCTCTAGGTGTTTGATGGTGCTATCATAATCTTGTCCTTGGCACCAATGGTGGCCTCAACCGTGGCTAACGGCCCCAGCAGCCCGTGGGATGCCATCAGCCTTATCATCACTCTGCGGATATGGAGAGTGAAGAGGATCATTGATGGTGAGTGGGGACTCAGCTTGTGACTCCAAGCATCACCTGGCAGGCTGGGAAAAAGAGGTTTTAAAAATACAGAGATTACTTACTACCACTGTTCCTATCATTGTCCTTTCTCTTATATTTTGCTAGCACTGAACAGAAGAGAGTTATGACTCCAATGGAGGAGAGTAGGTCTGGAGATCTTGTCTGTATCTCCTGCTGTCTAGGAGCCTTTATAATTTATTGGTTTCTTTTCCTGTTAGGCACCATCCCCTGTCCTGTAAAGTAAATGTCCTGACTTGTTTTATGTCTCCTGCTCTCATTGCTGATTCTGCAAAATAATTGATTCTCTGCTTTGCTGATATTTGCTGCACCCTCCTCATAACCATACAGCGAGCTCTGTCTTGGGACTTTATTTTCTAAGTTTTTGTCAGTAAATAAGTTTTGTGTCAGATTCCAGGAGGATTTTCTTGCCCTGGGGATTCCCAGCAAGAGGTGCTCTCTGCAGTGCTGTACATCCTGGAAATGAAGTGCATATTTGTGGTGTTTTGCACAGACCTCTGTGGGGATGTACCAGGGGAGATGAAAAGGCCCCAGGAAGTCAAGGTTGCAGAGAACTTGGCCTGGAAGCAAGGACTTTAGTGTAGGTTATTGTGTGCTCAGCAGCTTCAGGCAGCTTAGGGAAAAGAAATAAATGAATGGCCATTTTGCTCATGTGTGAAAAATCAAAGTTGTTATTTTGGGTTTAAATGCCCAGAAAACTTTGTATTCATAGTTCAGGAGAGGTCATAGCCCTCTGATTGAAGCATAAAAGAAAATTTCAGGATTTTGTGTAGCTTCAGAAAACTTTAATTGTGGTATGTGTTGACCAGCTTTTCTGATCAGTGTGAGTTTGCCATAGTTAAGACAGGAGCAAAGTTTTTAGAGCCATTCAGAAAACGTATTGAAAACTGGACTGTAGCTTGAAAAGCCATAGAAGATAAATACCCTCTTTCTTCAAAATATCTTTCTTAGTCTGCTGTGTCCATTAAGGATTGATTTCTTACCACAAAGTCTAGGAATTAAATGGTTAGGACTCTGGAATAGTTATTTTCCTGAGGGAGATGTGCTATTCAGGTTTAGAGGAAATGGGACTGACTCTAAAGAGAAAATCCTCCTACCCAGTAATTCAGGAAATCCATGGTAAACACTGGGGAAGTGCTCTAGTAGCACGGAATCTGAGAAGAGCAGGCAGCATGCATTTCAGTTTAGCCAGGCAGATAAAGGTCTGACCAAACAATATCTAGACCCTGCATTTCCAATGCTGGAAATCCTTCCCTGAAGAATGTACTCTAGTGCTACTTCTATTGGAAATACTCTAGTTCTCTGGATGCAGGGGAAAGGGATTATGTTCTTTGGCCTGTAAAGGTTTTCTTCCTGATAAAAAAGCAAATCACAGCTGGGTTGCTTTAAGTGTTATTTGTGTTTTCCAGCATATGTCCTTCCAGTGAAAGTGGAGATGGAGATGATGATTCAGCAATATGAGAAGGCAAAAGTTATTCAAGATGAGCAGCTGGAAAGACTAACCCAGATCTGCCAAGAACAAGGGGTAAAGTTCAGTAATGTCTTTATTTACATATATCTTGTCAAGACAAGTCAAACAGTTCATGTACTTGCTGCAGGCTGAGCTTTGAGAAGTACTACTGGGACTTGTGCTGTGGGGTGACAGGTCTCAATGCTAAGGAAGCATTAGCTGCAGCCAGGATATTGTCAGCATGGTATTTGTCAAACAGCAATCAGCTGCCTCTGCTGCTGGGCTTATGTTCTTGGAGGTGAGGAAAACAAATGTGAGCAACAGAAAATAAATGGTTCCAGTATGTCATTTATTAAATGAGTACAGCTAGCTTGACATAGTATTAACATACAAAACCCATTGTTGGAGACTGCAGCTAGTATTACTAGGAAAAGGATGTGCAGTTAAAAAAAAATTAATTTCCCTGCTTTAAATGCAAGAGGCAGCTTCCCTGTAGGTCAGTCAGACTCCTGGCAAGTTCAAAATGTTACAGTAGAAGCTTGTAGTTCCTGGAAGAAAGTTAAGATTTAAGACTCTTCCCAGGCCCCCAGATGTTCACTGAATCAGTCTAGAGGTAAGGGAAGGTGAAGTTTGAAATATCTGAAGTGAATATATTTTACATGAAAAAGGTGTAAAACCATTTTGGGGCAATGAGCCAGGAGATTTTGCCATTTGTCTTATGCAAATGAGTTCTTGACTAACTTACTTTAAAGTAGAAAGCAGGGATGGATGTTGAGGCTCGGGATAAGTGAGTGTTGAGGTGACCATCAGATAACAACAGGATGATCCCCAGGTGATTTACTTCTTGTTTCAGTGAAACGGGAACTATGAGATATAGTCCAAATAAATCCTGGAGATTTCTAACTTTAACTACCACTCCTGGCTTGTGGCAGGTACTTTTGAAATACAAAACCATCAATATTTAGGTCCCCAATCAGATTTTTAGGTTTAAGTCCAGATCTCCTGGATGTCAGCTTAGGATTCTGCAATGAACTGCTGGTGGTGGTAAGTTGCTTTGTCTCTGTGATGCTTTAGGAAGAGCTGTAGACACTGTGTCATTTCATAATGCTGGTTTTGGGTCACTCATATTAACCATAACTAAGTTCTAAACCTAAGGCTTGGCTTCTGGCAAAAATTAGTAAGTGCCAACTATATTGTCTTTGGTGGCAAAACTGCAGTCCTCTTCATAACACCTTGCACAATGATACTTAGTGATTTGGGTTCTGTCAAGGTTGTGAAATTGCCAGGTAAATGGTATACACTCCATTTTACAAGGGTGAGGTTATCCCTTCACCAAACCCATTAAGCAAATTGGTGATTTCTTGAGTTCCAGTGCAGTATTTTGTCTGTCAGACCATATTAAAGTTCTTGACAAGCATAAATTGTAAAACATTTGTTTTTTTAGGAACTTTGCTATACAGACAGATAACACTCTCAATCTCTAAACAATTTTTGGTGTTACTGTTTCATAGTCTGAGTAAAGGTGGGCTCATTATCCCAGGTGGGGTTCAGAAACAGCTCTTGCTGCTCTTCATTCTGAGCCAGGTACTCCTGAATGTCTGACCAGAGTCACCCTAAATCTGAGCTTTGATGGTTACAACCTGTACATCAAACAAAGAAATGCTGCACTGGTAGAGGAGTAAGCCTGAGAAAACAGAGCAGGTTCTCTTGCAGCTTTCAAGTGTCATCTGCTATGGAAAAGCACAGTCTATAGAAAGATGACAGCATGCTAAATCCCTCTTACTGGCCTGACTTGCTGCCAAACAACTGTCAGCTGCATAATATCAGGTAAATGTACTAATTTGCTGCAGTTAGTAACATAAGACATTGACAGGAGTACTGCATCCTTTATTTGTAAATTATTAGCTTTGTAATTCATTCAAGAAAAAGTTGTCAGCATTATAACAGTCACATTAACGTTGTATACAGCATCTGCTGGGAAAAATGGCTTCTAATGGTATTTAATATCTAAAATTCTGCCAGGTTTTTGCTTTTTCGTTTGATCATCTTTCCTGAGCTTTCTAAAGGATTGCTGGCTCATGGTGTTTCCATGTGCTTGTCTGTTTCTGAGGGAAGGTTTGCCTGCAGCAGTCTGGCTGTGCCCAGAGCAGAGCAGCAGCCAGGAGGGTTCCAGGCTGCCCTGTCCGTGAGGTGCCAGCTGTCCCAGGGACACCGTGGTGCCCTGCAGCCCAGCAGCACCCTGTGCTGCACCTTTGTGACCATGCTGGTGGTTTGCATTTATTCAGGAGTTAGAGATGGGACTGAGAACATTCCTGGTGGAAAGGTTTCCCAGTGCTTCCTTTTCTGAGATCCTGTGTTTGGTTTCTTACTGCTTTGCTGCTGCTCAGGCAATTGGGGTTAGAATTCTCAGGGTCTGGCATATTCTGCAGATGAAATGATCTTGAAAGTCTCAAGCAAAGTAATTATTTCATTAGAGGAATTGGGAAAAATAGTTAGCCTGTTTTACTTGGGATTTAAAACAAAAATAATTGGTGGCTGGTTCTCTGAGAAGTCCCATGCTGATTTGAAGCTGGTGCTTAATGTTAAGCAGACAAAACCAGGACTTCTTTAAAAACTAAAAGCAGCAAAGATACAACCTCCCTTCATCTTTTTGAAGTCTCTTTCTTTTGTCAGTTGTCAGGTTTTTTTGACCAGTGATGGGGTATCACAACTGTAAAGTACATTTCTATTCCTGACTGACATTGGAGATGTACTTTTGCAAACATGGAAACTCTTTCCACATGCTTCTTTTTGGCTAGCTGTACATATGAAAAACAGAATATGTTTATAAATTATACTTGCACAGGCCACCACCTTGTTCTCTGTAGTACCCCACTGCAACTGTTTGAATAGTTTGCTTTTTATTTATCCTCCATTGGCCAAAAAAAGAGATTCTTAAACAGGAATGGAGCATGAGGAATTTCTAAAAATGGGTAAATGTGAAAGGAAAAGAAGTCTCACTGCAGTCACTGTCAAGAATACGCAGAGTATATTGCTGATGGTTTTATCAGAATAACTTAAATTGCAAAACAAAGTTCTAAAGTTTCATTAGCTACAAATTCCAGTCAGGGAAGATTGCTTTTTTCCTCTGGAATCACCTGTAAAGGAATTTCCATTTGTGACAATAGATATATTTACCTGATCTTTTCTGCTTAGCTTTCAGAAGAGTCGTTCACCTGAGCACAGCCCAGCCCAGGAGTATGTGCTCAGCCTTATCACACCAGAGCTCCTTTTGTGCCAGTTCCTATAGAGCTAGGGTTTTCAGCATTCTTAGTACTGCAACAATTACAGGAGCCGTAATTTCTTTTTTTATCTTGGAATATAATTTGTACAGCAGCTGCCAGTTTAGTGGCAGGCCTATTTAGCTGGTAAAATTACCTATTGGAGAAATAACATATGCTATCCTCTTGCAATAATTTTAATTTATTTCTAACTACCAGTCATTTTCTTGGTGGATGGAAGGCAGCCAAGGTCATCCTGTGCTTTATTCTACCCATAAATCATTAGTTTGCAACTGTATCCTGATTTTTATGGTTACCAACAATGGCTAAACTAATGGAAATAAACACTGGATTGTATCCCAGTGGCAGATGACTTTAGGGTAGGGCATTCTGTACAGACAGCACTAATAGAATTGAGCAAAGATACTGCTCCTGCATTAGACACAAGTAAGCTTCTGGCTAAAATGTTCATTGATCTCTCAGAAACGATGTCAATCCTACTCTGTTGTTAGACCATTAAAGGGAAGTACTCCATGATTCACTGCTAAGTCTCTTTTCAAGTCTTACATGTGTATTACAAAATATCAGCTAGGATGGGTGGCCCACTTAATAAAACCAGGCATGTGAAAGGAGATGTTATCTAGAGCTCTGGGTAGGTCTGTCAATTTACCTGCTTAGAAATAATCACCTAATTCATTATTTGAGTGAGGAAGTGCCCAGGAGTGCCCCATAATTATTTCTGGTTTGTTTCCTGACAAAATATTGCCAGGTTTGTGGTGCAAGAGGATGTGTAACAGATTTTGAAAACGGTAGTTTAAATTTGTTGATTAACTTTCTCTTCATGCCAGACAATCTAGTTACTCATTCTTCTGCAAAGCATTCTGTATCTCCCTTTTTCTTGGTAATTAAGTGTATTTTCACATCAGCTACATGTATTACACCTTTGTTGCCGTTTTCAGCTCCATCATGGTGGGTGTACCCAGACAGTTCTCAGAGGTGCACAGTGACAGTACACAAGCATGGAATGTGCAAACTTCCTGTGAAATACGATAACAATGAAAATGAGAATGGGCAAGCACTGGAGCATCTTGCCAGGGAGGTGGTGCTGTGTACACACAGCCTGGAGATAGTCAGAATTTGAGAGGACAGGCTTTCAGCAGCCTGAGCTAAATGGAGCTGCTTAAAGCAAGATGTTGGATTAGATGGCCCTCCCAGTTCCGTTTCACTTCAGATTATGCTGGGATTCTATGAAGTTTTCAAAAATATTTTTTCCATTACAGAGTATGTTGGGACTTATTGGTAAATACCCACCAGAAGCTACCAAAGTATGTGTAATTAAGGAACATGAATGTCATAGGTATCAGGAGGTGTGGTTTACCTTTGTCTCCTTGGTCACAAGTTACGAGCATTTTTTTTGCTCCCTGGCTCTCTTAGAGATTTGCAAAGTTCTTCCACAGAGTTGATACCTATGAGTTAATTTAAGCAAATCAAAGCATGTGTTTAAGTTTATATGCCTTTTTTTGGTCATGTGATGATATGTGCAGTGTGCTTCTGCCCTACAGGCTGAGGGAAGAATGGTGTACCTGGAAGTACAGACCGTGGGTTCCTCAGTCCATGTGTTCGCTCAGATCGCTGCATCAGCTGCTGCTGCAAATAGAAATTTGACATGTTACCTTGGCCCAGAATTTTACCTTAAAAAGACTCTTATATATACCTCCTAATGATTTGTTTTAGCTGCCCTGGACTGCCTGAATGCAGAGCAATCTCATTAGCTCTTGTACACATTAGAACTGCCCAAGCTCAGTGTGCAGTATAATCTTCAGTAGTCAGAAGCACCTACAACCTCATTTGCTCATGCAGCTCTCGCTGCATTTCACCTGTAAGGAAAATGTCCTTAGAGTTAACCTTTGTTTTAGGGGGTTGCTTTGAGTGGCTGACGCTGTGTTCCAGCATCTGTAGGATCCTGGGATAATGGTTAGGAAAAAGCTCCTACAGAACCAATCAGCTCTGTAGATCCATGCCCTTTAGGAATGAAAATCCCGTTTCTTGTCCCTGACAGGAGGCCAGCCGTGCCCGGATCCAGTGTCTGTGGCAGGGCACCCAGATCTGGTATCTGTGAGACAGTGACCCTGGTGCCCAGGTTCTGGTGCCCACTGTGTTCCTGTGCCGGTGTGACCCATGCCCGCTGTGTCTCGGTGCCCGCTGTGTCACGGTGCCCGCTGTGTCTCGGTGCCCGCTGTGTCACGGTGCCCGCTGTGTTCTTTGCCTGGTGTGTCGCGGTGCCCGGTGTGTTCCCGTGCCGGTGTGTTCCTGTGCCCGCTGTGTCACGGTGCCCGGTGTGTTCCCATTCCTGGTGTGTTCCCGTGCCCGGTGTGTCCTGTTCCCGCTGTGTCCCGGTGCCCGGTGTGTTGTGCCCGGTGTCCAGGTGCCCGCTGTGCCCCGTGCCCGCTGTGCCCCGTTCCCGCCGTGTCCCGTTCCCGCTGTGTCCCGGTGCCCGGTGTGTTCCCATTCCTGGTGTGTTCCCGTTCCCGCCGTGTCCCGTTCCCGCTGTGTCCCGGTGCCCGCTGTGTCCCGTTCCCGGTGTGTCCCATTCCCGCTGTGCCCCGTTCCCTTGTGCCCCGTTCCCGCCGTGTCCCGTTCCCTTGTGTCCCGTTCCCTTGTGTCCCGTTCCCGCCGTGTCCCGTTCCCGCCGTGTCCCGTTCCCGCCGTGTCCCGNCCGGATCCAGTGTCTGTGGCAGGGCACCCAGATCTGGTATCTGTGAGACAGTGACCCTGGTGCCCAGGTTCTGGTGCCCACTGTGTTCCTGTGCCAGTGTGACCCATGCCCGCTGTGTCTCGGTGCCCGCTGTGTCTCGGTGCCCGCTGTGTCACGGTGCCCGCTGTGTTCTTTGCCTGGTGTGTCGCGGTGCCCGGTGTGTTCCCTGCCCGGTGTGTCCTGTTCCCGCTGTGTCACGGTGCCCGGTGTGTTCCCATTCCTGGTGTGTTCCCGTGCCCGGTGTGTCCTGTTTCCGCTGTGTCCCGGTGCCCGGTGTGTTGTGCCCGGTGTCCAGGTGCCCGCTGTGCCCTGTTCCCGCTGTGTCCCGTTCCCGCTGTGTCCCGTTCCCGCTGTGTCCCGTTCCCGCTGTGTCCCGGTGCCTGCCGTGTCCCGGTGCCCGCTGTGTCCCGTTCCCTTGTGCCCCGTTCCCGCTGTGTCCCGTTCCCTTGTGCCCCGTTCCCTTGTGCCCCGTTCCCTTGTGCCCCGTTCCCTTGTGCCCCGTTCCCTTGTGCCCCGTTCCCTTGTGCCCCGTTCCCGCTGTGTCCCGTTCCCTTGTGCCCCGTTCCCGCTGTGTCCGTTCCCGCCGTGTCCCGTTCCCTTGTGCCCCGTTCCCGCTGTGTCCGTTCCCGCCGTGTCCCGTTCCCTTGTGCCCCGTTCCCGCCGTGTCCCGGTGTCCCCGAGCCCCGCGGCGCGGCCGCAGTTCCCGCCGCGCTCGGCAGGTGGCAGCAGCGCCGCGCCGCTGCCGTCCCGCGCGGCGGCCCCGGGCCCGCGGCGGGCGGAGCTCGCGGCCGCGCCCGGAGCGCTCCCGGCGGTGCCGCGAGCGCTCGCGGTGTCTGCGCTGGTCGGAAACGCTCGCTTCGTCCCCAGGAGCTCGGAGTGCGCGGGAGCAGTCTGGGCTCTCCCGCATTTCCCCTCCTCCTTCACACCTGTGTAACGCAGTGATGCGTTCAGGCTTCTGATTGTTAGAATGCTCAGCAAATCTTTGTAAATGCTGAAGCTCCTTAAATTGGATCTGATGCCGTCATAGTTATTGAGCTGACTTTTAGCTAGTTCTGTCTATCTGTGTTAAAAAAATACCTGCCAGATTTTTTGTCTTGCATGAAAAAAGGAAATTGTACCACACCTCTAGGCCAAAATTAAGCATTTGAATGACAGTTATTTCTTGATTAGGCATGTGTGAATGTTTTTGAAGGGTGAAATATAGAGAAACAGAAATTATATTTGAGCTAAACAACATGGAAAAAATCTCCACATTTCTTTTTTGTCTGTTATGTTTGAGTGCATTTCTTCTGTTAAACCAATGGACTGACTGAAAGGATATCTTTTCTCTTTAAAGGTGGAATGCAGGGTATTCCTTGTGATTTGTTTTTTTTTTTTTTCAAGTCAAGGATATAGCCTGAAATTCCCACGTTCATATTGACACAAGTTCCTTGAGCCTCAGGATGCATCAGGCTGACTGGGAACAGAGTTGGCAGTGCCAGTTCTTCCTAGCAATAGGTTAACACAATAACAACTTGCAGGAATCTGCCATGGAGGCTTCATTGCAGGAAATCAGGGAGCAGGGCAGTATTTTGACATTTGCTGATTCCACCTGACTCCTGACTGCCACTGCCAGAAAGCCTTTGGTTAAAAAGCAGTGAGCACTTGCAGCCAGCTGTCTGCAGCTGCTAGGCCTCTGTGCACTGGATTGCAGATGGAGAAAAAGCTGTGCTTTGTTGGAGCCCTGGATTAGCTGCTTTAATGGGATCTGGAAAGCTTGAACTGCCCTTTGGCTTTCTAGATTTGAGTCTTGCAATGGGCCCTCCCAGTCACTGTAGTTCCTTCCCAGCTGCTCTGGAAAGCAGATAGTCTGCAGGTGTGGCAAACTGGAACCCCTTCTCCTTTCCTGAATCAGTGGAAATTCTGTCTGGTTTCCCCTCCCCGGTGTCTGCACCACATCTGACTGCAGTGGAACAAGGGGGGGTCTGGTGATGGGTTCCAAAATCTGCCATTGAAGCGGATCTGAGTCACATCTGAGGGGTGAGAGGCACAGGCAGGTGCACTCAGCCAGGGCTGTTCCACACCAGTTTTCCAGCACGGAGGTGCCAATTCCGTGTGCTGTGGGTATGGAGTGGCAGCTGCCGTGTCCTCTTGCTCTGCTGTGGCTCTGCAGGCCCTGAACCAGGGGAGGCCCAGCAGTGCCATATTTGAATGCTTGCCTGTTACTCACCTCATTTGTGTTTCCCTCTCAAACTCTAGAATTAGACATGACTTGGTCACTCCTGTATTACAGATTTTAAAGAGTTACTCTTTTAAAGAGAAATTCTCCCTTGCAGCCCCACAGCTGTGCTGTGTGGCACAGGGAGTTTTGTCCTGCTTACATAAGGATTTAAAGGGTCTCTGCAGCCTCTCCAAAAAAATTGTTTACCTTCTTGCATTGTGGAAGATGCGTAGCCATCAAAAACAAAATAAATCTGCTGTATCTCTCATTCAGATTGTACCTGGTAGCTTCCTTTTTTTCAGGTATCTGCTTTATAACACCAGTCATCAGTAAATCCCCTTGTGGCTGCAGAAATTCTTTAACATGTTTGAGAAGAATGGCCAGAAAAGTGGTAACCTTCCCTCTGGGTTTTCTGCACACTGCTGAGTACAGAAGGTTTCAAGTCAGAAGAGGACTGTATTATCCTCCCCTTGTTGAATTAGTGAGGGAGAACCATTCTGGGTGCTGCTCAGAGAAGCTCCCCTCCACTGGAAGCCTCATTACAAAGTCTAGTTAGGGAATTTGTCATGAACCTAACTCCCTAAATGCCTCTTAAAACTGATCTCTTGCTATAAAGGTTACTTGAGGTTGGGCAGTAAGACTTGTTAAAATTGTCCAAAATCTTACCTTCAGGACACAGCTGTGCAAAAGAGAGGACCAGTATAAGGCAGTGATTATCTTTAGATTATGTGAGCAATAGTCCAGCTCACACAGGTTCTGGGAGAGCACCACCAGCTTGGCTCAACTACACTCTTTGTTTTACCAGACCTGTAGTGTTTAGTGATGAGTAATAGGTCCCCAGCTGTAGGTTATAAACTTCTGGCTGTGCTCACATGACATCAGTTTGTGGTGGTGTTTTTTCCTCCAGTTTGAAATCAGGCAGCTGAGGGCCCACCTTGCTCAGCAGGATTTGGACCTGGCTGCAGAGAGAGAGGCTGCACTGCAGGTCCCACACGTGCTGAACAAACAGAGCAGCAAGAGGTACAAGGTGGTGGCCACTGAAGACTCCGACGATGAAGCCACCGAGAACATCACTGAGCTGCGACCTGCACGAGGTGAGTGCACAGGTGATCCTCCACAGTGGGATCTCACTGAACAGCTGCACTCCTGCAGGGATCCATTGCTTCCCTGCAGGCTGCAGTTTCCCACTGCTGCAGAGAGGCTGCATCTGCTCTGAAGTGGCAGGAGCTGTTGTATTTGGGAGCAGGTTCTAAACAGAGCCAAAGAAATGACAGGGGAAGAAAATGGCTACGATGTACCTTCTCAGTGTCCTCATGGTTAGATCCATCAAACACCAGAGAAGCAGCAGCCAAATGAAAGCTGGCCAAAGGGTAATCACTCAGAGGTAAAAGCAGGGAAATTGGGAAGAACATTGAAAAACAGTTTTTGGTCTTTGGCCACTTGCATTTCTCTGGTTTGGAGAGGACTTCTGCATCAGCTGCGGGTCTTGCCTTGCCTGGATGCTGTGTTCTCACTAGTTCCCTAAAGCTGCCAGTTTTGGACAGGGCAGCACTAGTGCCAGGAAAGGAGGGAAGTGCAATGTGGGCATCCTGCTTGCATGTCTGAGTGACCACGGTAAGGAGCACTCTGCTGCCTCAGGGGGTCTGCTGGGCAGCTCTGTGGTTCAGGAGGTAACAACAGCTACATTTATTTGGATCAGATTTTACTATCTAAGTGCTGGACCTGAATTTTTTTATGGAAAAGACAAAGCTGTCTTGTGATCCACCAGCCCTTCCAGTGGAGTGCAGGATGTCTCCTGCTTTAATGTAATATTCCAGAGGAGACAACACTTTCCACCTTAGTGGTGTGTTAGTCTTCCAGCATCTTAGCTTAATTATTGTGAATCTGTTGGAATTAGAAGTTTGCACGGTATCTTTATGTTGGTCAAACTCCTTAGAATTCAAGGCACAGATACTTTAAAAGCTGTTAGACATTTTTAAATTATAATCCTCTCCTTTATCTACAGAGTAGTGAAAGCATGTAGAAAATTGTTTTTTTTCCACTTTATAATATCTAAGCACTAACTACAGTAAAGCCATTAATTATTCCTGATATGAAATTGTATTTAAAAGCAGCCAGTTGAGCAGACTGACCCCTAAAATGCATTTCGCTTTTTTTTTTAGTATTTCAGAGGTTTCCCCAGTGGATATATTCTAATTTATGCATGTGTTCCTTGCGGGTTACGTTTGGAACTCAAGAGTGTTGCACACACTGTAAGGAGGCTTGCTGGAATTTTAGTGCTCTGGAGGTTGATCTAAAAATTCTTCTGTCCAAGGTATTCATTCTAACATCCAGGTTAACAGAATTACTCATTATTCATGTCTTCCTGTAAAGTGCTGCCCACACTTGAAACAAAGTAGACGCCCAATCTTCAGGATTGATTTCTGCACTTAGGTTACATGATTAGAGGGATTTGTGCTTTTCACTGAAAAAAAAAAAGACACTGAGCAAATAAGAAAACATGGATTGCTTCACATATTGGGTCAGGTGCAGTTATGTTATATGTAAATATTTATACAGAATATGCAGAATAAATTTCCAATTCCTGGAGATCATCTAAAAGTACCAGAGGAAATGTTTCTTGTGCACTGTATTATATATTGCATAAAAGTCTTTGTAGGTGCCTTGAGTGCTTGTCAGAACCTAAATTAGGGTGACAATATTTGAACAAGTAGTTTCTGTGGAATGAGGCGGGAGCTGGACAGAAATTCCCTGTTCTTACAGCAGTCTGTGGTAGTCTCCCATGGCAGGGGGCTGCCAGCACAGGGCCCAACTCAGATTGCCTGAGACACAGCAGTGGTGTTCAGCGTGCACAGCCCCGGGCACAGGCAGTGGAGGCAGAGGATTTCACATGGCATTCCAGGATTATTTTGCTGTCTTAGGGGTTGCTTCTGTGTAATTTGGAAATCTCAGCTCCCAGCTGGAGAAGGCAGTTACTGCTGGGCAGTGAGGATCCTGGGCCAGCCCCGCCCCATTGTTCTCTCTCCCCATCTTGACTGGGGCTTTCTTCTCCAGCTCTCTGGCACCAGCTTTTATTGCCAGTGATCCGCTTTCAGCATCCTCCCTTTGCTGTGCTGGCAGTATCTTGTCATTCTGCACCCTCCTGAGCAGTGCAGGTGTCAGCCAGAGCTGCCTGGGCTGTGCCAGGTGGAGGCAGGGCATGGCTGAGGGTGCCTCCATGTCCTCTGTGTGGGAAGGGCAAATGCAGTTGGTGTGGGATCTCCTATCTCCCCACATGCTGGGGCATGTGAAATACTCGGAGATGGGGCTCTGCAGAATACAGGCAGACAAGACAATTCTTGTACTCTCCTGCAGTCACACTGGCTCTGCTGCCTTCAGGGCTTCCCACAGCTCTGCCTGGAACTTCAGCCTCCAGTGTTTTAACCTTTGGGTCGAGGGTTATATTTTGCAAGTTACCCCATGTGTCAGACCACATTAGGGATTGCTTTGCAACTGTTTTCTCTAAGCTATGATTTTTCTTCTTAAGGATTCCAGAGTGAGGGCTGAAGCTAATCATTCAGAGTGCCACTTGGCACTCCCGAGCTCTGGAACATACCTGCCATGGCCTATTGCACTGCTAGGGAGAGGAGAAATGAGGGACCGGGTCACCTCCACTGTCAGAGGAAGGCAGTTCAAAGCCACGATTCAGCTGTTTGGCAGAACACGCTCTGATGTGCTGTTCTTTTGTACTCTGGCAGAACATTAGCTCTACATACAACACCTGAGGCTGGGGGATGGAATGGAATGCAAGTGTTTCTGCCAAATGAAACTTTGTCAGCCTTCAAAAAATCAGTGTCTTCAGAGAGCTCCGAATTCTGCCAAACCAGCAAGCTTGAGTTGGCTAGAGAACATACTGCATGAGAAAATGGGATATTCCATCTCAGGCTAATCTTATTTCCCCCATCTATATTGAACAATGGAAACATTCAGTGCAAAATTTTTCACCATGAAGGGCTGATGGAATAAGAAAGCATTGAGACTTTTTATTAATTTCCCTACCTAGAAGTTTTATGGGACAGTGCATAAGTTAAAGCTCCTCAGGGGAAGGTGTAGCTTGTCTCTGGTACTTACACAGATTTTGTGCAACCATTTACTACAGCATTCAGTAAAGTTAAGTCAGGTAAGCCCAGTGTCACATGGTACATGCAGCACCTCAGTGAATTTGTGTAAGAATACACAGTGACCTGCACCAGGAGAGCTGTGTGTGTGCTGGCTGATTTGGGAGTTTTCATTTGCATGTTTTCACCCAGATTTCCCTTCAGCAGATCTCCTGCTCTTCGTATCTAAAGTGCCTTAATTGTAGGTATGAGGCTGGGAGAAGCAAGAGCTCTGGTCAGATGGACAATGGGCTCTGAAAGAGTTCCATAGCTCCCCAGCTTACATTTTGTACCTCCTCCTGAAGGCCAGTCCTGTGCTAGTTCTGGGAACAATGAGCTGGTTGCTGCCTCCCACTTCTGTCTCCTTAGAGGAGTTCACCAAGAGACCTCCTGACACAGCAGGAGATAACACTGTGGAAAATGTATGGCTATATGGTATTTCCTAAGCAATATGGTAAAGAAGCAGGAATTTTTTTTCACCTTTAATTTGCTTTGAATTGAGGTTTTATTTCTCTTGCCAAGAATTTTATCTCCAGAGCAGACAAATGTGAAGGCTGAAACAGTTTTCAGCCTGCAGGTCAAAGGGTACCAGTATCAACAGCAGGAAACAAATAGACCCCAGAGAAGGGGAGGGCTGGAGGAGCTGCAAACCCAGGGCAGAGCTCTGACATTTGCTGCTCTCTCAGAGCACTTCAGGTGTTTGTGAAGAGCTTGGGCTGAAAGCTGCTGTCTGTGAGAGCACAGCAGCATCGCTAATGATGTTCAGGAGCATTGTGGTCAGCCTTTCTCTGAGAACAGGGAAATATCCTGAGTGCTCCTTTCTTCTTCCCAGAGATGGTTGCTATTTCACATAATGGCAAATACCATCCTATCTATCAATATCTAAATTACAAAGGAAGTTCTAAATTATAAAGGACTTCTTACCCCATACAGTATCTAACTGGTCATGGTGAGAGTAACAGCTAAAGTTTTCTTGTTCTGCACAAATCATTTTTAGTGTTTGGTATACAAAGTTCCAGGCTTCAGGGAATGCCAGGTTCACAGTGCCCCCTCTAGCCATTAATACTTCCTTCCAAAATTTATTATTCTTTAATCTCTCCCATAACATATGAGTTAGAGTCCCTAGTGGAAATTCCTCATTTTCCTGCATATATCATTTCAGTTTTTGAAATTCTACAGTACTGCCATATTGTAAGATTAATATACCACCCTTCTTATTCCTTTGAGCAAGAACCGGAAATTCACATCGCCAAAAATCTTTTTTTAACTATTCTGACTCAAATTTCCATTTTTATGGGGTTAGCAGTAAGTCTTTTGCTTTGGGGGACTGCTGCAATTTATGATCATGCTTTAAAGAAAGGTAAAGCTTGCCCTCCCTGTAGGTACCCACTGTTTTGTAAGTGAAGAAAGTAGGATATTGGGAGGGGAGCATGAAGACTTCTGGAACTCCAGTGGGCTTCCCTTAACATTATTCATAAGCTGTCTGAGAAAGCAAAGCAGGGCACTGGAAAGGATTTTGTCAGTTGTTCCTTGCAAGGCAGTCTGAGCTGGTTGGAAGCTTTTAAACTCTAAGCCAGTTCCTTTGGTGATCATCTGTTAGTGCTCTAAGAGAACCCTGTTAATGCAAAACAATAGATAAAAAATAGTTTATGGTTATTTTCAAATGCTGAAATGTACCTACTTTGAAGTCTACTCCTGGAAATGGAGTATCTAAGTGCACACCACTTCAGCTTGACTTCTCTCTAGATGCCTCTTTCAGGCTTTGTGCATTCTGTGCACCTCTGTGCAATGACCAGACAGGCAGGAATCAAAGGAATTAAACCTTAAGGAACACTTAGAGAAATGTGTGTGCAGTTAGTGGAGTCAGGCTCTTGTATTTTAGTCACCAAATGGGTGGGAAAGAGACTGCTCACTTCCAGAAGGGGTGAGCCTACAGTCACGGCTGTGAGGGTGAAGTTGTCTCTCATCATTAACGTGAAGAGGTGTGAAGACATTGCTGACAGGTACAGGAACACAGAAATGGAATGTTTTCCACTGTCCAAGCATGCAGCCCTTTCATAAGGATCCCTTTCATGAGCAGATGGTGCTCCCCATGACAACATGATTGCTCTGCCCTCTGCTGCCCTGCCAGACACTTGGGTTCTGAAGTATTACAAGTCTTTTCCTAATTCTCAGATTACATTTATTTGTTGCCAGTTTATAACAGCTTGCTCTTGATACCCTTTTGCTTAATTTTTTCTTGATGATTGTTTTGGTGGCAGCCATATTCTTCCTTAGCTTTGTATTTTAGATTCAGCAAATGTTGCTGTTTCACAGAGACAAACCCAGGTTCCTCCGAGCCAGCTCAGATGTGGATCTGCTGATCCATGCTCTGGAAACAAGGTTGGGAAGAGCACTGAGAGTCCCCCAGGCCATTCTGTGCCCACAGCCCCCCTGACACACAGCTGTGCTGCATCCCAGCCGTGCTCCAGTCAGCTCACAATGCTCTTGCTGCATCATCTGCTCAAGTGAGGCCCAAAGCCTCACTCACTGTTGTCAGGATTCTGGGTTTCTGTCCCAGCAGCATCTGCTGATAATGGAGCCTGTGGCTTATCCCAGATTTCCTTCTGCACAGTGACTTCGACCACAGATTGATTTCTTACTTAGAACCAGGCTGAAGCTGTTGCTCTGTTTTCTCTGCAAGCTGACTTTACAGTTGCTCTCAAGATGGAATATCCATGTGCCCAGGCATCCATCCAGCCTCTGCAGGGACTGGATATGTGTGTGAATTGAACAGTGGTGTGAGTACTACAGCTTGCAGTAATGTAGCAATCTGTCTTCAAACCAAAGGCAGGGGAAGTCTCCTGGAAAGTGCCAGCTGGCTGCTCTGGGTTCCTGTTGAAACAGATGAAAGATCTGCTTCTTTAAAAACCTCCTAGTAAAGACTGTTTTCTGGAAGGAAGTTGGGGTAAGACATTACTCTGAGGACTCACTTCCTCAGTGGGAGGCTGCACAGCAGAAAAAAGAACCTTCCAGTTCAGAAAATTCAGCTTGGAGAGAGAGAAGGCAGTACAACCAATGGCAATAAAAATATGAAATAAAATACTCCAATCATTAAATATTTCAAAATAAAACCCCCTTTTTAAAGCCTTTTCTTTTATGCAGGGGAGTTGCAGATCACTCATGAAGGCATTGATGAAACAATTAAAGATCACTGTTGAGGCATTCTAGAACTGAAGGAGATCTGCTTGGGTGGAATATCATTTATATGTTTCACTAAATTTATTAGGTTTTTATGGGGCCAAGAAAAAGAGATTGCAGTGTTGTCTCTTGGGTCAGATGAGATTATATGGCACTGTACTCTTAAGTAGTTTATTACTCCCTGAACCATTGCAGTGTGTGTTTGGAGTCCTGCAGGAAAAGAACAAGCAGACAACTTGGAAACCTTCATCAGACAAAATCCAGTGGTTGTCAGACAGATCCTGACTGAGAACCACACGTTTTTTCAATAAGTGGGATTTGGGCAGCAGGCAGAGATGGGACTGCACTGCAGTGAGCAGCCTTGCAGGGGGGGTGGTTACAGTGCAGGGGAGGCTGGGTTTATGTGAGATGGGGCAGAGTCTGAGCAGCCTTCCCAGTCAGACATTCCCTTCTGTGGGGTGGGAGTTCTGATCGTGTTGGAGTCAGCCCCACTGTCTGGAAAAGGAAGTGCAGGTAACATTTCTGTGCATTGGAGGAGATGGATTTATTTCCAGGAAAAAGAGAAAAATTAAATCTGGATCCTAAAAATTTCAAGGTGGTGAAATTTAAAAAAAGGTTTAAGAAAACCCCATGAAAATTATGAAGAATTAAGTATTTCTTTAGACAACTCCCTTTCTGCAGCTGAAACTGGAATAGATTGGCAGCAGAAGACACTGTGTAGAATGTAAACAGTACAAGTGCTCAGCCCCCTGTGTAAAAGCTGGTCTTCCCTGCTCTCTCCTACAAACTCCCTGTGTGCCACCAGCTGATCCTGAGACCCCCCACTCTGAGCAGGGACTTCATCTGGGAATCCCCACAATCACTTCAGCAGTGTTCTGTGGTGCTGTGCACAACTGTGGCTTTGTGGGTCCATTTTATTTGCACAGATGGGTGCTTTCAGTTGGGTATTTGTTGCATTATTTTGAACTCCTTTTTTCAGCAATGTAGAATATAATGGGAGGTAACTGGAATTGTTTATAACCTTCAATGCCCAAAGCAGCTGAGACTCCCATATGACTCAAATGAGTTTGTTAATTGTCAGTTTGCTTTAACGTAATTATTCAGAAATTTAATCTGTTGTTGAAATATTTATTCTGCTGCTGTTATTCCATTACTCCTTATTGGTTTTTATTCATAAGAAACTACTAAGGTTGAGTATATGTATTTTATATTTACATACACATGCACTATGGATATATTTATGCATATATTTTTAATTTATAGCTAAACAGATCAGCAGTGATGAGCAATTACATTAATAAGGCCATCACAGAATAACATTAAAGTAGGCAGCTGGGAGTTCCCCCAGTCTTGGCAGTGGTCACACACAGGCCAGGCCACATCCTCACAGCTCAGAGGGAGCAGGGGCAGTGCATTTCTGGAGTTCCTCTCCAGGTGTTTGGCAGTGCCCACTGCTGCCATATGGAGCAGCCTGGTTCTCTGCTAGCCTGGTTTGGACACAGCTGCTGTGTTTGGGAGCAGTGCCCTGGTACATTCTGTCAGCTGGCAGACAGGGGACCAGGGCAATCAGTGCGTACACTCCTAAGGAAGCCTTGGTTTGAGCATTGTCTTTAAGATACAAAAAGCAGGTGAGCTAACTTCTCCAAGCATTTCTTGTCTTTGATCCAAAGTGTCTTGGCATTGGACAGACAGTACTGGGAGCACCCAAGGCCCCTGTTGGTGGCTCTTGTCAGGTGGCAGGGGGTGACGGTTGTCCAGCCAAAGTGCTGTGCTGTTTTCCTTGTTTGTCTGCTTAGAATTGGACTGCAAGATGCTGAAAGTGCCCTACCAGAAGTACAGCTACAGAGGCATTCTCTGAGTCTGTATGGCTGGCAGATTTGGTGGCACTGAGAGTATCAATTATGCATGACTGAAATGAAGTGTATTTTAGTAGCAGATAGCTGAAAAGCCTTGCAATGTACTCCTAATTCAGTGGCATCGCCCTGAGCTACTCTGAGGCCTCTTTTTTAAACTCAGACATTAGCACAAAGCACACCTCTGACTGCAGGCATTTAAAGATCAACAAGGGCTGAAAAAGCTTTTAAGATCTAATGAAACCAGGAAAACAACCATGTTTCCTTTCAGTGTCAGGTTAGATTGCCTTCTTATGAGTGCAGCTATTTCAGGTACAGAGTGCTTGGTGGTTTGGGTCTTGTTGTGTGAGGAAAGTGTTCCCCAGAAAACATCTGTTTCTTTCACCTGCAAACCGCAATGTGCTGTGATGAGGCAGGACTGTAGCCACGGAGACCCAGGGGGCGAAGGAAATCTGGCTCAAAGGGATGAGCACGGCTTTCTGAAACATGGTATCAAAAAGAGCACTTAATAGGAGAGAGTGCTTTTAGAGCACAGATCCACCACAAATTGGGCAGGTCAGGTTGCTGGGAAGCCTGACGTTCTCCAGGACTGCCAATACTATTTCTTAGCAGAATGTTTGCCTTTGCTCAGAACAAGAGAACCATCTTACCACAATGTTTTTTTCCACAATGGTAAAATGTTCTGCTTTTCCATAAGATAACAGTAAATCCCTCTGTCATCTGTAGCATCTAAAATCTGTGCATGCAATAGAGCTGCTGCCTTCCCTTCTGTGGTCGTGTCTTCATTTTTACCTTGCTGTTGAAGTTTAGGCATGTACTACGAGTTTAGTACTACACCCTTGATTAGTAAAACTCTTTATAGCGGGTTTTAAGCCAACAAATAGCACAATGTTAATATTATGCTGTATTCTTACATGCATGTGTTATATGCACCAAAATAACTCTTCATTAATTCAAAATAGAAAAGAAACTACCTTATCTTAGAGAGTAGGGAATTACACATTAAAATCATACATGGTGCCTCCCTTTCTCCTGTGGCGAAGGAGGTGACTTGGGGATGTCAGTGTGCAGCAGCAGTGGGTCTGTCTGTGTTGGTGCCCTTGGTTCAGCCTGTCAGGATAAATACCAGGTTTGTCTGTGTGCCCTGGCTGGGAGCAGAGGGCCCTGCTGACCAGGGAAAGGCCAGTGTTGTGTTTGTCTCTGCAGAGCGAGGGGAAATGGCCAGCCCACGGCAGCCTCTGGAAAGATCACAGAGCACCTTTCCTTTGGAGCTCAAAGTGCCTCACTCCTGGGCTGCTGCTGCAGAGGACTGTGACAAAGGATAATCCAGTCCCTGTGCTGGCTGCAGCCACAGCATGGATGGCGTGTAATGAATTCAGGCCTTGTGGCCTAAAAATCCAGAGCAGGTGGCTCTGGGCATACAGAGAATTCAGCCATTTAATGAAATAAATGTTCTTCTAAGGGCTGCTTTTCTGTTCTTTCAGAGGATGACATGAATAATTACGTCAGTCGATACTACAGTGAGCCCAGCAGTGGTGAGTGTTGCTTCAAAACACAAACGTGAGTGGTATTTTTGCATTGCATTGTGTGCTGTAAACCAGGTGAGATTGAGCCGTGGTGTAGATCTGTCCTGGAAATGAAATCCACCACGGAGTCTTCTGGTTTGGTCCATGGAAGTGTGTGCCAATAGTCATTCTCTGAAAGTTGAAAGGCCCCAAGTTTGCTCTTGCTGATGACACTCAGGATAGTTTGGAGATCTGGGAGGGTTAATTCCTTATAGCTGGGCTGTCCAGCTCACAGAGCAGTTCAAATGGATCTGAGAATGAACAGCAGGGACAAAATAAATGAATAGAAAAGAAGTGGGGAGACAGCTTAGCCCAGCACCACGCTGGGAACCTTTCAGAAAGGTTAAACTGAATGGTGGGAAACCTCAGCAGCTGGGCCTGACCTGAGGGCAGCCTTCAAATGGATGTTCCTGGCAGG